GGGGGGGAGGTGGTGGGTGTGCGGGATGTGGTGGGGAGGTGGTGGGTGTGTGTGGTGGGAGTGTGTGGGAGCCCCACAACCAAAAATATATTTCCCTCCCCACCCCACCCCACCCCCTATTTGCCTTCCGTAGGGACCGCTCCCTCTGCGACTTCTTCGTCCGCCCCACACTCCCCACTAGCCCCACTACATCCAGCACCTTTCTCTGCAACCGCAGGAAGTGCTACACCTGCCCTACACCTCCCCCCTCCCCCACCGCCATCCAAAGTACCAAACAAACCTTTCACATCAGACAGAGGTTCACCTGCACATCCGTCAATGTGGTCAATTGCATCTGCTGCTCCCATTATGGCTTCCCCTGCATTGGTGAGACTAAGCGGAAGCTCGGGGAATACTTCGTAGCGCACCTGCACTGTGTTCGGGACAGACGACAACACCTCCTAGTCGCGAACTGTTTCAACTCACCCTCCCACTCCCTGGGTGACATGTCCATCCTGGGCCTCCTCCAGTGTCACAATGATGCCACTCGGAAACTGAAGGAGCAGCACCTCACATTCCGCCTCGGGAGCCCACAGCCTGATGGTTTCAATGTGGAATTTACTAGTTTCAAAATCTCCCCACCCCCAGCCTCATCCCATGACGAACCCTCCCTCTCATCCCCACTTCCTTGACCTGACGCAACCTGTCCATCTCCCACCTCTCCTCTCCTCCCACCTCACTGAGCAATCCCCTGCACTCCTGCCTACCTGCACTCACCTATCACCATCCCACCTTTCTTCCCCAGGCCTCCCCTCTCCTCTCTGTATTTATTTCAGAGCTCCCTTCCCCATCCCCTAATTTCTGAAGCAGCATCATCAACTTTCCTGCTCCTCTGATGCTGCCTGGCCTGCTGTGCTCCTCCAGCTCCACACTGTGTGTTGTCTCTGACTCCAGCATCTGCAGTTCTTACTATCTCTGAGACTATGGATTGGTTTGTTTTATTGTGAGGAAAATTGATTACAGACATGAAGAGGTTGTGCTTCAGTTATGGAGGGTATCAGTGTGACTACGTCCAAAGTACTGCATACTGTACTGGTCACTATACTTGCAGAAAGGTGTTAATGTACTGGAAACAGTTCAGAGAAGGTTTACCAGACTAATTCCTGGAATGTGTGATTGTTTTTCGAGGAAAGGTTGGACAGTCTCAGCCTGTATCCTATGGAGTTTAGAACAGTCGGAGGTGACTTATTTTAAACATAGGTTATCCTGAGGGGACTTGACCTGGCAGATGTGGAAAGGATGTTTCCTCTTGTGAGAGAATCTAGAACTAGAGGTCACCGTTTAAAAGTAAAGGTTGCCCATTTAAAACAGATTAGTTTTCGGGGATTTTTCTTTCTCCTTGAGAGTTGTTGGAAATCCTTTCCTCAAAAGGCGATGGCTGGTGAATCTTTAAACAGTTTTAGAGGGAGTTAGATTAGAATAGAGTAGAAATGTATTGTCATGTGTACTTTTGCATGAAAAATATAGTGGAAAGTTTAATAAGTCACCTAAGTATAAATATTGACTATCGGGGACATACAGAGATATCGAGAAGAGGTTAAAATCAGATCGACCGTGATGTTACAGAATAGCAGAGCAGGTTCAAAGGGCTGAATGGTCTCCTCTTGTTCCTTGTATGTAAGTAAGCTGATTGGGCTAGGGAAATCCAGGTAGGACGTGAGGGAGAAACTAGAACTGGGGTAATAGTTTCAAAATAAAGATTTGCCCGTTTAAGACGGAAATGAAAAGTTTTGTCTATTTTTAAGGCAGAGTTGGATAGATTGTTGACTGGCGAGGGGCAGAGAGTTCTCAGGAGTAGGTGGGAACATGGAGTTGAGGCCACATCAGATCAATCATGATCTTATTAAATGATGGAACAGACTCAAGGATCGTGCATTGTGTGTTTTTTATTTAAATTGAAGTGACCTGCTGCCTCCAGTGCCCAGTCTGAGTGAGTAATACATATGGGATGGAACTGAACTGGTCTCTTCTCTCTGCCTCCTGTTAAGGATGCTGCCTTGTGTTATGACGGGGAGCCTAATGACTCGTACTCCGAGATCGACAGCAACGTTCTGTTCCGAGAAGGGGTGACAATGCAAGGCCAGCCCACCTACACCCCCCGCCTCATCCTGATGGACCTCAAAGGTACAATAATCGTTCACAAAGCATGTCACTCCGCTATTTAGGGAAGGTGCGAGAGGGAAAACTGAGGGATTATAGGCCCGCTGTGGGTTGACTCACAATGCCATTAGGGAGGGAATTCCAGGATTTTGACCAGAAACTGCCTGTGGCCAATAAAATACAGGGAAAGAAGCAGGCCATTCAGCCCCTCGCTGTACAGCAAGAACCTGGCTGATGTGTGAATTCACATCTCTCACTGTCTAATGGAAGCTATTCATCACTGATTTCCAAATGAATTATTGATTGAACATCAATTGGAACAACAATTTCTAAAATTCTACCAGCCTGTGCGTGGAGAAGTTCCTAACTTCACTTCCAAAAGTTCTGCCTCCAATCTTTCGACAATGCACCTTGGCCCGAGACTCCACCAATGGAAAAGGTTTCTCATGTTCACTCGGACTGAAATCCATGCCAAAATGAAATTCACATCACTTTGTAATGTTATGCTTGTATCAACACTGCTCACAGTGCGGCCTTTCTTTGTGTCATCTGTAAATCTGGACGCGAGGCTTCCTACCCTTTCCTCTAAGCCTTTAATAAACAGAGCGAGTCACTGAGAGCCCTAATACAGATCTTTGTGGGACACCACGAGTCCCATTCTGCCAATTTGAGAATCTGCCCAATCCCCTGACTCTGTCTGCCATCACTCAGCCAGTTTCCAAAACTAGTCAACAACATTCCTTCAGTTGTGGAGATTGAACAGTCACTGGTGAAGTGCTTTATCCAAAGCCTTCCTGATCTCTCTTGAAATAACATCCACGGACATTTTCCTTAACCACGTCTTTAATCACCTCCACTGAAAAAAAAGCATCCATTAGGTTCACCTCTACAAATCCAAACTGGCTTGCTCTGATCAGCTGGTCAGTTGCAAGTGTTCGGGTTTAATGGTAGATTCTAGTCGTTTCCCGACAGTGACATTAAGCTGCCCCAGTTCGGGAAAGCAGCTCACTCCCACCTTCTCAAGGGCAACTAGGGACGGGCAACAACTGATCGCCCAGCCAATGATGCCCACATCCCACAGTGAATTTTTAAAGAAGGTTACGTAAGCATTTCCTTGCAGCCAGGTTCACAGATTCCCTCTGCATCAGCTGTGACAGTTTGATACTGGATGTGAGTAAAAGAGGTTCACTCCCTGAAAGAAGTTTATAAAATAATGAGGGGTATAGAGAGTTATGGGAGTTGTCTTTTCCCTAGGGTGGGGGATTTAAAGACCGGGGGACACATTTTTAAAGTGAGAAGAGAGAGATTTTAAAAAGATGAGACAAAAATTTTTCTACACAGAGGGTGGTTTGCATGTGGAATGAACTTCCTGAGGAAGTGGTGGATGTGGGTACAATACAATATTTAAAAAACATTTGGATAAGTACGTGAAAGGAAAAGTTTGGAGGGTTATAGGCCAGGAGCAAGTGGGTGGGACTAGTTTAGTTTGGGATTATGTTCAGCATGGACTGGTTGGGCCAACTGTTTCCATGCTGTAGGACTCTGACTCATCACCGGTAGGAATGGTGACTCATCACTGGTAGGAATGAAGGCAAAAATGAGCCACTTGCTTGGGGCTTGCTGGATGTTGTGAAGCATTAAGCCATGGTGCAGTTAGAACCTGCAGTAATGGGCTGATCTGACGTGTCTTGCAGGGAGTTTGAGCAGTTTGAAGCAGGAGGGAGCCCTGTACTGTATCAGTCAGACCGAACCTGCACTAACATGGTAAGGAGCGAAGCCAGCTCATTGACGTCATGAGGCCGTTCTGTGATCACCTCATCTTTCCGCTTTTGTTTGTCACCATTCTCGTATGACACTCTTCAAATGATGTGCCTACACACACTGTTTGACACAGCTGGTTAGTTGGCAAGCAAGCGTACCAGCAGAAGTAACAGGCAACGGGGACCATGACTGATTCACCCACCTCAGAGAGGTAGAGTC